AAATGACCACAGTAGTTGGCTAATTGGTATAATCTTTGTTAAAAAGTAGGTTTTCATTATTTTTAAATGGAGGTTTTTGTCGGAACACATACAGGGTCTTACACTGACTCGTCTTCAGCACATGTGATGAAACGTACTGTAAGTACTGAGCAGAAGCAGGCAGACACACTGTGAGGGGAGGAGGGGGGTTACAGCTGTATCTATCATGATGTACATCTGTTTGATCTCTTGAACCGACATCTGTGATTGGCCGGAGACCTGCTTGGATCATAAAAGTGGAGGGCTATAAGCTGATGCGAGGAGAGGGCTTGATGACATCCGGACTGAAGCCAGCGCCGAGGTGGTGTTTTTGTGTGTCGCTCTCATGGTTTGTGCACCTTTTTTTATCTGCAGCAGCTTGGGCTCATTTACAGTAATCGAAGCTGCTCCTCTGGGAGATTAAGTCATTCTGTCGTTGCGGCCCGTCCTCCTGGAAACCATGACGATTAAGAAGATGTGCCGTAAGTACATGACGGCGTGTGGAGGCTGATTGGGATGGCTGTCACGCACTGCATAGGGACGACCTCAGTGTTTACTTTCAGGATCCAGTCACCATTACTCTGAAAGCCACTGTGGGAGTCTCTCTGTCTTGTGGCTCGATTTTAAGGGCATGTAAACAGCTGTCAGTGCCCTGCCGACGGGGTTACTTCCTCGCTTCTTTGTTCTGAGCTCGCCTCACTTTGAAGTTCCTCCTCCTTCAGCTCTTGTCTCATCTCTAACATGTGTTTCCAAAGGCCTTCAAAGGGAACTGCGGCCTACCTGGCAGAGCAGTAATACCTGTGTCGTGTTGCGATGAAATCCAGGATTTACTGTAAGCTGCCTCGAATCAAACCAAACCCGCTGCATTTTATTACGGATGCTAAGCTGTAATATGATGTAACAGGCATGTCATGTCTCTCCTGGCCGCTGCTCTAAATGCTCTGAGCGACGTCTGTTTCTTGTATTTCGTTGAGGCCTTTCCAGGCGAAGTCGAACTCGACCTCACGCTGCAGTCAGCAGTTTGTGTTTTCCTCAGCAGGACGGCCCAGTAAGAGCCGGTTCCTAGAGGCCAGCTACGTTTTGTCTCGAGGCAGCTCTGACATTTCCTGGAGCAGGAAAGTAATCTGTCTGTTGGGGAAGGAAGACAGATTTGCAGTGCAGCTTCAGGTCCTTGAGTGTATCCTTGCAGCTTATACTCCTCATCGCCGCCCTCCTCTCAGGACACAGGCTGTTGCTTCATTATTTCAAGGCCTCCGTGTGACGTGCTCAGGGAACAAAAGGTTTAATATCCAGCTTTCACCGCCGGAGAGGATGACGGGCGTCCTTATTATTCTTTAACACATGTAGCAGGAGTTTACATTGGGTTTGCTTTATGTAATTTGGAAAGTTCATGACTTTCCTAGTAAGAATGTATTAAACTAAGCGAAACAGCCTTGATCCTAGCTCGATCATCTCTCAGTGTGGAATTTTTTCCCGCTGGATTTCATTTTATCAACCCACATATAAAAGGTTCAAATCCCTCAAACTCTGACCCTCTTTCTCCATGAATGAATTTCAAGAAGAAGAAGAAAAAAAAAAATCACCCCCCTCATTCCCCTCCGACTTATATATTTAACCAAAGTGCATGTGGTTAGCTGACGTTACCAAACAATGTTCATGCTAAGAATGACACAAGGATTGGAAAGAGGATTTGTGAAGACTATTACAGTGGAACCCCCTCCCCCACCTCTCTTGGTACTCCGTTCACTGGGGATTATATCTCTGCAATTGAAACTTGGCAGGACATTCTCCGCCTCCAAAATATACCATTTCAGATCACACTGCCAATCCGACTTTGTGCTCCGACTGGCAGCCGTCGCAGAGATATGGCCCTGGGGAGTGGGAGATGAGACAGTGAAGGTGAAGGCCGATAAACCAGTAGGTAACGTTCTACGTGTTCCCCCTCGTTGACTGTACTTTTGGCAAATGTCCACGCCTGCATGCTGCAGGAATGCCATCCGCCAAAGTTGATGGATTATAATCATGCCTGATTGCAATTGTCTCATTGAGTCAGACTGTTTGTAAATGTGGCACTCGTACTCCTGACAAGGATTTGGCGTGACCGCTCCGCTCTCCAGATGTGTTTATATACGATTAATGTTTAGAGATGGAGGCGGTAGGGTCTCTGAAATTTTCTCAGCTGACTCGAAATGTGTAGTGTTATTGGACGGCAGACACATTCTTACCCGCTGAGTCTTTCTTTGCGTTGAAAGTGTTGACTTCGCTCTGGAGGGAAGCTTGATTGCTTCAATAACAACCTTGTGTTAATGCACAGGAGCCAAAATACACTCTGAGTGATAATTCTTAACAGTTGACAGGTGTTTGTTGAAGAGCTGTTTCTCCTCTCAAAGATATGATATGGCTTTAGGGTGAATGTTTGAAACGATCAAATGCACTCTGATGGATGTGGACTTTAGACAGAAATAGCATCTGGATTTTTAACAATACTAGCAATACGGCAGTGCCAGTCCACCCAAGTCCATGTTCAAATAGAATCCCAACAACTCTTTGATGAATTGTCGAGAGCTTTTGCGTAGATGTTCACGGTACCCAGAGGATTGAGCCTTGATTATACTGCTTTACGGGCGTGCACGTAGACAGCTGCTCACATGCACGTAGATGTTGCTATAATGCTACTTTCTGCTCAGTTTTGGAAGACTTAAGTACAGTGTAGTAGATCGGACTTCTCATCTAGCACCACAATGATATTCAAGTTTGTTTTTTTTTTTTAGGTATCTTTACAATTATTGGATGTGTTGCCATGTAGTTTGGTGCAGACACTCATGGTGCCCACTGGATGAATCTTATTGACTTTGGTGGTCTTCCTAGTTTTTCTGTAGATCAAACTTTCTCTTATCCAGTGAAACATCTCATCATCTCGGGGAGCTGACGTAACATTTTGTGTCGACATTCAGATGATGTACTCTGGATAATTCCATGAGTCTCCCAGCTTCTCCAGCAGCACCATGTATTCAGATTTAGTGGTTTTGAATGAAATAAGTGATTGGATGACAATTTGCCACATTGCCATAAAATTTGGTATAAACCATTTTGTTGTCTTTAAGATGAATTGCAACAACTTTCTTCATCACAACCAGGTGGTCAAAATACCAGATTCTCATCAACCTTAGCTGCACAGTGTTTAGCGCTAACAGGCAAATGCTAGTAGGGATGCATGATGATATTGGCATCATTGTCACTATCATCAAACAAAGGCTTTATTATTAATGTGTAGTGGCACAGTGCTAAATAAAAGCACTGTATTTAATGTCCAAACCTGCTAGTGGACCAACACAATGTTAGCATGCATTGTAAGATGCTAATTCTACTAGATGAGAGACCTGATGCTCCCTGAAATTTGTTGATCAGCATCAGCAATCAGCAAGAATGGGTTGGAAATATCAAATATCTGCAAAATTCCCATGTTCTGCATCTCAAAACGTGAGGATACTGACGGTAAACATGGTGTTATTCCTGCTAAACATCTGTTTACATGCTTTGCTTGCATGCTGTTGTTAGTGTGTAGCTCAAAGCAGTAAACATATCAGTAAAGGTCTCTGTGGATGGAAAAGTGAAACCAGAAGGTACAGAGTGTTACCGGGAGTCCGATCACTCATCACAGTTACCATTTAAGAGCTCACAACATATAAATAGCAGGTTTGTGTGATCCAAACAGCCATCTGTGGAGACTATACTTTACCAATCGTGCCAGAGAGGAAAAAATAGACTCCAAGTGTAAAAAAAAATAAAATAAAAATACATGGTGACACAAGCCTTAGGTGTGTGCCTTGGAGTCAGTGTGGTTTGTGGCATGTTTTAAACTTTACATTTACTTAGTTTACACACTGAAAGCAAGTGAATTGCACTGTAAAAAAATGAACAATTTAAAAACATTCTTAGCTGTTCTTTTGTGACATTTTTACTCACATTTTTTCGCTGTTTTGTTAAATTACAGTTTATCACAATTAAAATCACAGAATGAAAGTTAAAAAAAACAGGTCAGAATTGTAAACAATGTCCACATCAAACACCTGTGTTTTTCACAAATGGTAATTTGTTCTCTTATAACTCTTAACCATAAAATTGCACTATTTTTTTACTTTGGTGAAATCAGCAAAAAATATTATTATTTTACAGATAATTGCTGTTATTTAAAAGAGAAACCATGAATGTTAAGGACTGAAAAATGGTAAATCATTTTTAACAGATTAAACAGATTTATCCTGTTTTGTTTAATTATAGATAACATGTATTAAAATCACCAAAAAAAAAAAAAAGTTAATTACACAGTGTCTGTTGAGGCCACACTGTAAATAACTCTACATCAAAAATCTGTAGTTTTACAAACAGTAATTTCTTCTTTAACAATGTGTGACCACACAATGACACTATTCTACAGTGTGTAGGTCAGCAAAAAAAAATATCTCAAACCAGCATGTCAAACAGCGGCTACATCTTAGGGCTCCTAGCAGCTCCATATCGTCTTGTATTTACATTCTGGCACTTTCTGTGTTTTCCATTTTGATGACGATGCACAGATTACATCTCTCGAGTTGCTATTTAGCCATCGCCTGCTGTGTTTGGGTTGCCTTGCCTGCAGTAATGTATCTTCTGCTCCCTTAAGAACCTAAACCAAATACTCAGAGAACATTCCTGTTGTGTGAGCTCCTGGTTGTTCCTAATCCCCTTCCAGACGGTCAGCCAACAGTGATAACAGTGTCACCACTCACTAGTCACAAATACAACTATTACTACTACTATTAAACTATTTATAAAACATTATTTGACAAGCCCGGGTGCATCATTCATAAAATATTTTCATTTTAGTGAAGGTTTATTTAGTACGTAGCGCAAACTAATCCCATGTACTATAATATATAATAGATGTTGAAGCTCATATTTGAAGCATGTATTCACAAAGTATCTCTGTCTTCACAGGCAGGATGACAAACCAGCCGACAGCCAACCAGTCCAACACAAAAAAGGAGAAGGAGAAAGAAGAAATCCCGCGAGATGACAACACGGATATGGCATACAAAGATGCCGGCCACTGCAGCCGTAACACCCACAACCTGCTGCTGGGACTCACTGTCATGGGTATGCATGGACAGAAAAACTCTAGCTGTGCTCTGATTTATTTCTGTGTTGGTAGATGTAACATAAGTAAAGAAGACACAAACAAGCTTTAATTTTCCTTTGAAATATTTTAACATCCCAAATCCCCACAGTGTGTGCTGGAATTCAATTTGAGGTCAGTATTGTTGTTCAAAAAATAGCCAATTTGCGCCACAGCAAATATCAACGCACGCAAACCTCGATGTGCAGACCCCGTGATCATTTTCCCGTGAGACATCTTCTGCTTGTTGTTTTCTTTAATCCGCCTCTGTAAACACTTTGGTATGTTTCTTCATAGCTGTGTTCTTTGTCCAAAAAAAAAAAAGGCCCAGCAGAGTCAAGAAGTGTGTTATTTTTGTCTGTAATTTGTCACCCAGATTTAAACCCTGATATGACCCAGTTTACATTACAGTGGATGGCTTTCATTAGTCAGAGATCTCTTACATGTCAGATGAGGCCAGTAAGTGAACTAAAAAACTGCAAACTGATTTCTTAGAAGACTAATACCACCAGAGTTTTAGCTGTTTGACAATATTTTGTACCAATTTTTATTTTGTCTGCTAACTAAGCACATAAGGTAGTGTTTACCCTTGATTTTCAGTTTGTGTCTCAAACAATACTTACCCTATTATAGGAGTCTAAACTCTTCTCTGGGCAGCTCTTCAAGACAAAGGAACAGACCACGCACAATGCTGTGGTCTTAATTTGCTAAATGATTGCAGTGCAAAAATAGAACTTCATAGTTATAACTTTTTTTTTTTTCGCCCAAAAACAAATTTGTACAAGCTTTGGGGGAAGCAAAAACATCAGCATTATCAAAAAAATAAAACGAATATTTGACTTTGTCCTCTCCTCAGGTGTTGTCATGGGAGCAGTCTTTGGGATGCTGCTTCGGTACATGAAGGTGACAGACAGCGCCGCCCTCACTATGGTTTCCTTTCCTGGAGACATCCTCATGAGGATGCTGAAGATGCTCATCCTGCCTCTAATCATCTCCAGCCTTATCACAGGTCCGATTTAGAGCTGTTTTTGTAGCAGCGGTCAGCACAGCTCTTTTGCTAACATTGCATGCTAAACGCTAGCACTGCAAATATTAACTTGCATTCCTGTAAGAAGCTATAAATATGTTAATAATAGACCGTTAATAGGGCTGACTGCATAAAAGTTAACACTCACTTTACGTACTTAAATTGATATAATAAATGCTGTTTTTCCGAGATACATAATGTTTATCATAGTGAACCTGTGAACCATAGTGAAGTGTGAAAACTTGTAATCCTTATCTTAACCACATGCTTTTAAAACTAATATCTAAATCTTGTACTTTGTTAATATTGCATGCTACATTAGCTTTAGACAGTTATGCAAATAAACCTATTTTAAATAAGTTTGTCTGTTCACACATATTTCTGAACTTAGGAAAATGTTACACTTTTACTTTTCATTTTATCAAGTGACTTCTAAAACCTGAATCCTGTCAGACACAAATGAGGGTAATTCTAACGCTACATATTAAATGTTTGGTCGCTGTATTACACTAATGTGCTAGCTGTTGCAATCTGTACATGGTATTGGACTAAAATGTTAAATATCAGCATGTTAGCACACAAGTTAAAAATCTTACTTTAATATTTTATGACTATTTTTTAGCACCAGATAACCCTAACCCAAGTGCAGCTCTTTTGCCAACATTGCATTCTCAGTAGGAGTTAAATTCTTTCAAAATAGTTATGTTAGTAAATTGCACATACAGTCAGTGGTGTTTGCCATAGCCAACAACTATTGGATGGCTGTAGGAATATCATTGTTTTAAATAGGTTTATCTATCATGCCTATGATATCTAAATCTGGAAACATGTTAAAACTAGTAAATGTCAGAAAAACTTTGTCTGCCCTCACATATTTCTGAACCTGGGAAAATGTTACATTGGTACTATTTATTTTAACAAGTGACCTCTGGCAGCTCCAGCTAAGAGTGACTCTCACAGTGCTGGAATGCTGCAAGTATTTTACACCAACATGCTGAACATGAGTGTGTTGCTTTGCTAACAGAACCAGCACAGCACTAAATCAAACATGTACTAATTTATTACAGAAAAACACACATCTGAAATGAATTTAGTGGTTTTGAGCAAAGTTTTTATTACAGTCCCGGGTGAAAGCACCACTGAAACTCACCACCTTGTGTTGCTTGTACAAATTTAAATTCTTTTAAATCATCATTTTTATTATATTTGTTAGTTTATTTAACAAGAGCAAGAAAAAAACACATCTACACACAGCAGATGGAGGGTGAGCAGCTAAAGCTAAACTGCACCAACATGCATTTCTTAGAATCTGGGAACATGTGGTGTTAAATGTATTGCAAGAATCAAACTTCCAGGAAAAACCACTTTCATTCCCTCTGTGGACGTGCACAGGGATCCTTGTAAATCTGTCATCTCTCTCTTTCAGGGCTCGCTGGTCTAGACGCCCGCTCCAGCGGCAGGATGGGCAGCAGAGCCATGGTGTACTACATGTCCACCACTGTCATCGCTGCCATCCTGGGGGTTATCCTGGTGTTGGGGATCCACCCAGGGAACCCCAAACTGAGGGGAGGCTCCTCGACCTCGGTACCAAAGAACCAGGAGGTCAGCAGTCTGGACGCCTTCCTTGACCTGATTAGAAACCTCTTCCCTGAGAACCTGGTGCAGGCCTGCTTCCAACAGGTAGCCTCCACATCTGTACCACATCCATAGCACTGTTTTATTACTCCGGCTTTTCATTTGTGCACACCATATGGTTGTAAGCAATATGAACATAAAAAAGATGGAATACAGATCAAAAAGCACCAGAGGCATGGCCAATAATTTTCTTTTTAATGAAAATAATTTATTATAGCAGCTTTTAAAAGCTGCATCATTAAACTTTAAGGTGATGCTAACTAGCAGGCACTGAAAACAGATTATCTTTAGGTTGGCTTTCAGAGTTTTAGGGTCCAGTTTAGAGGTTTTATCACTGTCGCATTAACAACTATCATCCAGTTTTATGTTCAAACAATGTAATCTCACCACAAGGTAGCTGCTCTGGAACTTTCAGTTTTATCAAATGGAAATTGAAGCATCTACAACTCCATATCAGCTTATTGAAACTCACGAAATAGGCCATAGAGGCTCTGGGATAAAAACTAGGATAAGAAATAAATCTAACTTCTTCAACCTAATGTGTGTTTTCATAGAAAGTGAATAAAACTGTCTCATAAGGGAAAATTACGCCTTGATTTGAATTGCAAGGTAGAAGTTGCTTCAAGTTAATGGATGACAAGTCAGTGATCTAAAGCTCCTTAACAGTTAACAAATACATGTTGAGGTAGGATTGCTTTGTCAGCAGTTGTCAACAAGTATTAACCAAATTATAGTTTATTAAAGTTGACTGAAATATTGGGAAATCCTGTTTGTGTTCAAGGCCATTATAAAGTCATTATCATGTCTGTATAAAGCATCACTGAGCAGTTTGACAGAGTGAAGGAGCTGCAGAGAGTTTTTAATGACTGCTGATTCTCTAGAGACTGTAGCTGTCCTCCAAACTTCACGGACAATGTTTTCTACATATGTCAGCACGACTGACTGGAAGCCTTTGATTTCACTTGAAGGGGTTTGGCTGGAAAAAGGCTAAAGCTGCTGAAAGCGTAACTTTTTTAAAAGTTAAAATTAGGTTTTAATTCTAATAGAGATACGAGCTGAGCTTCTCAAACAAAACAAACACTAGAAACTCTTTTCACAAAGGGAATCTACCTCTGAAGAAATAAAATGATTACAACAAAAATAAAGAAATTAAAGACAAAGACAAAAAGGAGACATGAAATAAATACATTGCACATGCATTTTAATTTATAAAGTTACAAAATGGCCCATTTATGAAGTGTTTGGTGATGACAGATTGATATTTCTTCCTTCTGCATCTCATATCATTGTCATTTGAATGTGTTTGTATGAAATATTGCTTTATCTGTAATACATATTAAGGCTGAGATCCTACAGTGTTACTAATTATAAAGAACCTAACTCATGTTAAAATATAGCTAACACCCTTAGGTATTATAAATTATGGAACTTAACCTAACAAATATAAATATTATGACTAGACCCTACAGCATTATTAAAAAGGTAGCCTGCAGAGCCTCGCAGTGGATTACAATGCAAACCAGATGTTCCCTGATGTCGGTGTTCTCACCTGCTCTGCTGTAAAACGAAATTTTATATATAAATAAACATGTGGCTTATCTACATCTGCAGACAACATTATCTTGGCTTTAACTGATCCTGAAGTGATGCCTGGTTCAGTTCAAGTCCAGAATGCGAAGCTGTTCTTTCCTGATGACTGTAGAATGTCTTTTATTTGTGAGTTTCATCGTGGTGTTACTCTGTGGACCTCCCACGAGCTGTGTCCTTAATAAACTTTGAATTGCGGTGGTGAGTAAACGGGGTGAGTCAGTAGACGGCTTCTGTTTGTCCAAGCTGATCATTTTTAAATGATAATCCAAGTCTCAATCATGATGCGACAGTTGCCTTCTTCTGTCCAAATCCTGTTTTTTTTCCTGTCATGCGTGTGTGTCTCAATGATTAGAAGTAGTTGTCTGTGTTTAACTGGGTAAGGGTCAGCCCTTCTGCTACTGCTAATCTCTTTACATCTGCATCCTTATTTACCACAGTAAGGCATCAGCTGGTGGACAGGGAGCACTGCTGAACATGAGCTTGTAGACTCTCTCTTCTTCTCCCTTTGGTATTCTCTCTGTTTTTTTCTTTATTCCTCTCTTCACATCTTCTCTGTTTTACTGCTTCTTTTGTTTGCACTCATCAGGGATTCATTCAAGTGATAAAAGGCATAACTACTTTTGCAGGAAAGAATCGTCCTTCGCCTTTCAACCTTTCTGTCTCTCTCTTCTTTCCATTTGTTGTCTTTATGGGAGAATCTCTTGTTCTCTGTTTTGCCTTTTCTTTAAACAGAAATTAGAGTTCATCGTGCAGCTGCCAAGGCTTTGTTTGCTTACACACACAATAGAAGTTACAAAATTCAGAGTTTTGCTATGTGGATTGTTTTGTGCAGCAACCCCAGTCTAAATCAATCTGAATCTGTGCTCCCTGCAGGTTCAGACGGTGCTGAAAAAGGTGCCAGTCACAGCACCGAACCAAACCGAGCCCCTATTAGTGAACAGAAAAAAGCTGGAATACAAATGGGGCATGAACGTCCTCGGTGAGTTGTTGACGGAGCCCATGTTTCAGTGTTTTGTGTTGTCCAAGCATCTCTGCGTGTGTCATTTTTCAGCTTGACTCCGCTGCATGTTGGAGTTTCCGCTGACATGCTGCTTTGTGTCTTCGTCAAGGCTTGATTGGCTTCTTCATCACCTTTGGGATCTGCATGGGCAGGATGGGCGAGCGGGGGAAGGTCATGTGCGAGTTCTTCAACATCCTCAATGAAATAATCATGACGATGGTCTCCATGATCATGTGGTCAGTGTTTTGTCTTTCCTGTGCGTGTTTGTGTGTGCATATTTGTGTGTTTGCAAGCATGCGCAACATGTGTCTCTGTTTTGACTCTTACTGGCCAACGGCCGCATTGCTTTGACATTCTGGAGATACCACACACAGGGTCAGTGACAGTGATGGATAAGGCGAAGGTTGTGTACATGAGGGAAATTGTGGGAACAAGCAACAGGGTCAGACGAAGAAGACTAAAAAGGAAAGAGGGACAGAAGAAAAAGGAGAACGTGTGTTAGTGAAGGACATGGACAGATGGAAAGAGAGAGAGAGGGTTTCCCTGGGACTTGCTGGAGTCTGTGGTATGCTGGGGAGTAGCAGGAGCCGGGGCCCGGAACAATGTTGTGGGCTCCCAGGGGAGTCGGGGTGGAAGATCTCCAAAACGTAATGGATCCACCGCCGGCAGAGGAGTCACTTGGCAGCAGAGCAGAAAGCAGATGCGGGCAGGATGGACATGGAAAGATGCGTGTGAGAGCATGCCTTCAGAGAGCAGTGCACGCCTTGAGGCTTTGCAGGACCTCAGCTCGTCGCACAGTGAAAGAGAGTAGTGGCACTCAGAGCGGGGAAGGGAAGGGAAGGGGGGATAAGGGTAGGCGTTTGGAAGAGAAACAGCAGGATGCTTGTCTTGCAGCTCTCCGAGGCCATCTACATGTGCAGCTGGACACCAAAGGAATTGTCTCCTTGTTCGTATCACTCACTCAATATAAACAGATTACTCATGGGCCTTTGAGCTCGCCAAACACAGAGTCCAGTGTATACAAAAACACATATCATACGAGGGGCACATCCATCAAATCATATACACGGCAAACTCCGCCAAACAACTGTCAGTGAATGCCAGCCTCGGGCTTCAGCACGCAGCTGACCTGGAAGAGCAGGCTGCTGTCGTGATGGGACTCGCTTTGATTTCGGATGAGGAAGCGCTTATATGGGAGCATCGCTTTAATTTATCTGTCCAGATACAGTATCCGGCATTCATGAACGGGAACAACTGCACTCCAAAGCTGGAAACCAGAGATCCAAGAATGTGTCACGTGCTCTCGCAGAGAAAAGGGCTGCATTGACAATGACTGAAGATTAATTAGGTGCTGTCACAAAATGCTGGCCTGATATTTCACTTTAATGCTGTCAAGTAATAAACGTGTTTTACAGTAGAACCTTTATACAAGTAGAAATAACAATCGAGCTATGTGGCATCAAAGATCTTTTTGAAAAATACAAGAATTCTGCAAATTGAGCAGCAGGAATGAAAACATGACAGACCTTGACAGAGGAGAAAATGAACACGAAAGGGAAAGGTTCACAAGAATGCAGCTTTAATTTTCAAGCATGTATGTTACACGTCTTATAGGAGGTTACATTGAAATGGTTTTGACAGAAAAATGTAACCAAGACAAGGCAAGTTTATTTATAGCTTCATGAATACATAAATGACACCAGCAGTTTTAAAGTGCTTTTCAGATGAAATTATTTAGCTGTTTAAATGATTGAAATTAAATAATTTAAAACATAGAATAGGGAAAATAATCGTCTCTGCATGAGTGTAGTCTTTATGGTATTTATGCACCAATTTTTGTGTTTTCTGCATCAATGTATGATAGAAATATATTTATTTAAATGAAAACCCAAACTTCAGGTGAAAATAAAATATAAATGCATAATAATTACATTTTCTGCATAGATTAAGTTATTGGATAAGCTCATAGTTCATATTTTGATGGTAAACAAAGACTCCAGTCTGAGCCATTGTTTTGTCTTTTAGTAACATTACAGTGATTGCCAAACAAGAGTCTCCTGCTTCTTTTATGCTTTTATTTTGGAGGATAATCGCATGTGTTCTAAATAACAAGTGGGACATATCCCCTGCTGAAACTTACACCGATGTATATATGTACTTTCAATTGACACATAGATTATACAGATGCAGGTTTACCATTTAGCAAAAGGTATCAAAATATATTGGAGAGTTATGAAACACAAACAACAGTCAATTCCGTTCAGCAATTTTAGTTCTGATGTTTGTTGCAGGTACTCTCCTGTTGGAATTGCCTCTCTGATTGCCGGGAAGATCGCAGCCATCGGAGACCTGGAGGTGGTGGCCCGGCAGCTGGGCATGTACATGGTGACCGTCATCGTGGGTCTGGTGATCCACGGCGGCTTGATCCTACCTGCTATATTCTTTGGAATCACCCGAAAAAGCCCCTTTACGTTCTACTCTGGGATCTTTCAGGCCTGGATCACAGCTTTAGGCACTGCTAGCAGGTATGACAGCCTTCAGGAAGTGGATGTGTGTGTGTGAAAGTTCTCTGTTTGGGCATGTGTTAACACTTGTGTGTCACATGTTTCTTTTACAACATCTATTCCTCGGGCAGCTGCTGTAGTGCCTGTGATTGATCGGCGTAGCCTGCTCGTCGCTTTCAGCTATTTGGTTTGAATCTGAAAGGCCTGAGGGGAAAATTCTGTATTTATGCAACTGAACTGGCAAATCAGGACAGCAGAGCCAAATGTGTGTAAGCGCAGGCTATCACAGACAAGTCCATGTCAGACAGATCCTGTGTTGTAAATGTCTAAGCCTCGGGATTAGTCGTCACCAGCCAAACCGGCCCCACTGTATCCTGCCTGGCTTGGCTTGGCTCGGCCTGCCTGGGATTCTGTAGTGCCACTGAAACCAACTGTCATTTTGGCACATTACCGAGGCTTTAGTGAATATGGGTAATCCTATCAGCGTTTTCTCTAATTATATTATGACCCTAGCTTAGCAGGGCCGGGAATCAAATTCCTTTAATTCACATGTTGGTGGATTGAAACAGTGGCCTACACCAGCTGTTAGGAAGAGGCTGTCAGCCCACTCAAATTTCTGCTGCCTTTTTTTTTTTTTTTTT